AGCAGGACCTCCAGTAGCACCAGCAGCAGAACCACCGCCAGGACAGACAGCAGCTGTCTCAGCACCAACACCCTCAGTGGCTCCAGCTCTAGTAGGACCCGTAGGACCAGCAGCTCCGGGACCGGCAGGACCAGCACCCTCGACAGTCGAAGAAGCTCCAGCTCCAGCAGCATGCCTCCAGCGGCGAGCAAACCACTCGCGCAGCTCGTGTGGAGAGAGGGGCTCCCGGCGAGACGCAGCAGCCGGAGAAACCCCAGGCCCAGCAGCTCCAGACGCAGCACCCCCAGGCGCAGCAGCTCCAGACTCAGCACCCCCAGGCTCAGCAGCTCCTGACACAGCACCCCCCGGCTCAGCACCCCAAGGCGTAACACCTCCAGTCTCAGCACCCTCAGGCTCAGCACCCTCCGCAGTAGCACCCTCAGGCCCAGCACCCCCAGGCTCAGCACCCCCAGTAGAAGCACCTCCAGTCCCGGCACCCCCGCGCACAGCACCCCCAGAGGCAGCACCCCCAGGCCCAGCACCCGCAGCAGCACCAGAGTCACCAGTAACCTCGACCGGGTCAACGGCGTCTACCTGGGACACACCTGAGGGAGCAGGAACATGAGGGGGGAGGGCGTCTATCGGGGGGGGAACCGGCACAAGGAAGTCCGGTGGAGGGGGGAGGGAAGGAGTGCGGTAGGGGAAGAGGCGGTATAAGGGGACTGACTCGTCGAACGTGACGTCCTGGGAGGACAGAACACGACGAGAGGAGGGGTGGTAGAACTGCCACCCTGGGGCGTCAGGGGGGAAGCCAAGGAAGACACAGGGAGCAGCACGAGGGGACAGCTTGTCCGCAGACAAGTCGCGGACAAACGCCCGAGATCCCCAGACACGGAACGCCGACGCATCGCCAACCTTCCCCGTCCACATCAAGACTGGGGACATCGCGGGCCGAGAGACCCTGGGGTGAAGGTTGATCTGATGCGCGGCGTACCGAACCGCAAACGGCCACAGAAAATGGGGGGCAGCCGCATGCACCATGGACGTACGGGCGACGTCCATGACAATGCCGATGCGGCGCTCAGCAATCCCATTCTGCTGTGGAGAGTCCGGAAGCGTGAAGGTCTGGCGGATGCCTCGTGCCCGACAGTAGGCTCGCAGAAGGCCGGAGGAGAACTCTCCGCCTCTGTCTGAGTGCAGGCGGAAAACAGGAAAGTCTGAGCCGAAGCTCTTCATGAGCTGGAGACGAGCTGCGCGGATCCAGTTGATCAACACCTCAGTGACCTCACCCTTGCTGCGCAAGGGGAAAACTGAGGTGTAACGCGTGTAGTCGTCAACCACCAGCAGGAAGTAGCGCTCGTGACCCTGTCCACGGACGCGGGCTGGGCCCCACACGTCCATGTAAAGCGTCTGCATCGGGGCCTCCGTCGGAGGGAACGGCGAGGAGTGAGGGGTAGCCCGCAGGCGACCCTCGACACAGGGGACACAGGGAGGGCCAGGCCCCGGAGGAAGGGGAGGGAGGGACCGGGGAAGGCCAGAGACAAGAAGGCGAGAGGCCATGCCCCGGAGACGAGGCATGGAGGGGTGACCCATCCTGTGGTGCCACAGGAGGGTCTCGTGGGACAAGAGACGACACGAGCAGGGGGCAGACTCAGGACCAGACCTGGACGCTGCAGCAAACACTCGACCCGACGCAGCTACCTGACCAGACGCAGGAGAAGGAGACGGAACAGTGAGTGTGTACAGGCTCGACCCTGGACCACGTGTGAATGTGGTCAGGTGTCGACCCATGTCCGCGTCCGTGCAGTGGGTGACTCGTCGGCGCGCAGGGGTGAACTGGTCAACCCCTGCATCCTGTAGGTCAGCACACGCCACCAAGTTCGTAGAGAACGAGGGGAGGTAGAGACCGGACAGGGCGCCAGACGGGACCGCAGGGCACGGCAGGACAGTGGAGTAGCGAGCCAGAACAGGACCCCCAGAGGGGTCTGCCAAGGAGACTGCCACTGGCCGACTAAGCGGCGTGAGTGTGGTGCGGTCTCGAAAGAAGGAGCGAGACGCCCCGGAGTCAAGAGTGAAAGTGAGAGAGGGTGAAGTCGACACAGTACCTGATAGAGCAGACTCACCAGCACCTGAGGACTCAGACTCACTGGCACCTAGAGCAACAGCCTCACCAGCACCTGGAGCAGCAGCCTCAACAGCACCTAGAGCCGCAGTACCAATGCCCGGGCCGGGCGGGAAACACCGGTAACAGTCACCCTCCTCACTAATAGTCACAGCATACATTGCAGCAAGAATAGCATCAAAGTCAAGATCAAAGATAGCTACTCCAGCCCTAGACAGCTGGTCCCAGCGAGGGATCTCAGAGGCGTCAGGAAACTGGCGGCGCCAAGCGTCAGTCAGGCGGCCGAAGCAACGCTGGGGGGAGTGTGGACCACCACACTGCTCACCCGCACGGTCGCCAGTGCGCAGGACGTAAGTGCACGGACCAGTACCCCCACCCCGGTGACGCGCAGAGTACCACTCACGGAGCTGCTGCGGGGAGAGGGTCTCCTGACCACGCTGATGCTGCTGGCGCTGACCACCACCGGAGCCACTCCTCCTCGGCGCGCCACGACCTCCGCCGCCTCATCCGCCGCCGCCGCCACCACCTCCACCGCCACCGCCACTCCCACCGTCGTCGCCGCCACCGCCGCCTCCGCCTCCACCCCCACTACCACCGCCGCTGCCGCCCCCGCCTCCACTGCCTCCGCCGACACCTCCATTCCCGCCACTACTCCCGCTACCACCCTCACCTCCGCCGCTGCCTCTACCTCCGCCTCCACCGCCCCCGCCGACTCCACCACCGCCCCTGCCCCCCTTGCTCTTGCCAGAGCGACGTCTCCCGCTGGGGGCAGACGCCGCTCCGACCGACTCAAAACCAACAAGGTCGGCCGTAGCAGCAGAGGCGACAGAGGGCAGGAGGGGGGAGGGGGAACACCCCTCAAAGATGGGGGTGCGCGGGTCACCACGAGAGGCCCCTACAGCGAGAATGCTCTTCTCGGCTGCGAGGAGGGACTTCTCGAGGATCTCGACAGTGAGAGTGGTGGGGCAGACTGCGAGTAGGTCGTCCCTGACTCCGCGAAGGGAGTCAGGGAGGCGGGTGACAATGTAGTAGAGAGTGAAGTACTGGGGGGGGGGTTCTTGGCGCAGAACTCAGCAGGAAGTGCAGCGCGGAAGCGAGCGTCACTAGTGCGCAGGTGGGTAATGAGGTCGGCGACTGTGGCAAAAGCAGCAAGGTCGGGAAAGAGGTACGGTAGCATGAGGCGGCTCGGTGCAGCAGTGGCAGGGGTGGAGTAGCGTGCGATAACGGCGTCGTACAAGGTCTTAGAACTCTTGTACGACCCAAAGTGCGCACGCTTAGTGGGGGGGAGGTGGCGACGCACAGCAAGACGTGCAGTAGCATCGCGTGTGGCCCACTGTGAGCGAACAGTGGCATCCTCAGTAGCAGCAGGGGCGGGAGAGGCACCAGAAGTGAGATCAAAGAGAGAGAGTCCGTCAGCTCTGTCGCACTGTAGGAAAAGCAGTAGGTCGTCTACCCACACGTCAAAGTCAATGGCTCTGCCCTCAGCGTCAAAGGCGAGGACACTGGGGGTAGCCATGACAGCAGTAGAGAGAGGGCAGTGCGCAGAGTAAAGCTCAATGCTCACCAGACAGGGCAGTGCAGGGAGGGCTCGGGCGGCTCGGGCGGCTCGACTGCTGGGCGGCTCGGGCGACTCGGCGGCTCGGGCGGCTCGGGCGGCACTGCAGCTGGGGCGGCTCGGCTGCTGGGGCGGCTCGGCTGCTAGGGCGGCTCGGCGGCTGGGGCGGCTCGGCTGCTGGGGCGGCTCTGCTGCTGGGGCGGCTCGGCCGGGAGATGCAGGGGCGGGGCCGTCAGGTGCAGCGGCGGGCCGGCAGGTGCAGCGGCGGGTCGACCGGTGCAGCGGCGGGCCGGCAGGTGCAGCGGCGGGGCTGTAGGGTGCAGCGGCGGGCCGGTAGGTGCAGCGGCGGGGCCGTCAGGTGAGGCGGCGGGCCGCTGGGTGCAGCGGCGGGCCGTGGGGTGTAGCGGCGGGCCGACAGGTGCAGTGGCGGGCCGTAGGGTGCAGCGGCGGGCCGGCAGGTGCAGCGGCTGGGCCGTCAGGTGAAGCGGCGGGCCGCTGGGTGCAGCGGCGGGCCGTAGGGTGCAGCGGCGGGCCGGCAGGCGCAGCGGCGGGGCCGTCAGGTGAGGCGGCGGGCCGTAGGGTGCAGCGGCGGGCCGTAGGGTGCAGCGGCGGGCCGGCAGGTGCAGCGGCGGGGCCGTCAGGTGCAGCGGCGGGCCGGCAGGGCCGCGTCAGAGCCGGCGGCGGGGCCGCGTCAGTGGAGGCGGCGGGGCCGCGTCAAGCAGGCGGCGGGGCCGCGACGTAGCGGGCGGCAGGGCCGCGTCAGAGCCGGCGGCGGGGCCGCGTCAGTGGAGGCGGCGGGGCCGCGTCAAGCAGGCGGCGGGGCCGCGATCAGGAGGGGCAGCGGGGCCGCGAGGGAAATGGCGACCCGAGGAGTCGCTAAAAAAAATGCGCGCCTCGGGGCGCGCTTCGGTGGGCCCTAAAAAAAACGGTCCTTAGGAAGGACCCGCTCTATACCATGTGAAACAAGTGAACAGGGATGGAATGACTAAGGAAAGATTGGGTACAAATACAACCCTAGAAACCCTGTACCCCATATGTGCTACCCCACTATAGCCTACAGCAACTATGTCATATAAATCTGACAATGAGACCCTGGCCTTAACGTCGGAAGGGTTGCGTAGACGTTACATTCATATATTACAAAACATATATTAAGAAATATTACAAGCTCATCAGTTCTTGATTATGGAATAACGTGACTATTCGTCTCATTGTGAAATGGGTGAAATCTCAAAACATTGATTTTGTGTATTAATTAATGTGAACAACTAAGATTGATATCTTCAATGTGATATATTGTAACATTGAACCATCAGGTTCTTGCTCTAGCAAAAGTGTGGAAAAATGTATTGGTTCAAAATGAGTTGTTTTCCAAGTCACACAAATTTCATGTGATCATGCGTGTGTTTTCACGTGGCACCAGCGTTTTGGTTTTGGTTTAAGTTTCCAAGTGCCAAAGTTCTGTTCTGGCTTTCGGATTGCCCCATCGTTTTCGGGTTTCAATATACAAAGTTTTCACGCTTGGTCTTTCTGGAAAGTGTGAAAATTCTGTGAAGTGTTTTCGTTTTGCCCCATCGTCTTTTTCGTGTTGTGTTTCATGCGTCCTCCCCCCTCCCCAGTTCGGTTAGTGCAGTTTCTTGTTTGGCACTCCCACCTTGTCGTCGCTTCTCCTCCCCCACCACCTGTTGCCGCACCCTCCCGCCCACCTTGTCATTGCCTCCCTCCCACCCACCTCGTCATCGCCTCTCCCTCCCACCTTTCCATCGCTTCTCCCTCCCACCCCGCCATCCACTCTCCATCCCACCCCGCCATCCCCTCTCCCTCCTCCCCGCCGTCGCCTCTCCCTCCTCCCCGCCGTCGCATCTCCCTCCTCCCCGCCGTCGCCTCTCCCTCCTCCCCGCCGTCGCCTCTCCCTCCTCCCCGCCGCCGCCTCTCCCTCCTCCCCGCCGTCGCCTCTCCCTCCTCCCCTCCGTCGCCTCTCCCTCCTCCCCGCCGTCGCCTCTCCCTCCTCCCCGCCGTCGCCTCTCCCTCCTCCCCGCCGTCGCCTCTCCCTCCTCCCCGCCGTCGCCTCTCCCTCCTCCCCGCCGTCGCCTCTCCCTCCTCCCTGTTGTCGCCTCTCCCTCCTCCCTGTTGTCGCCTCCGGCGACAGGTGCCCGGAGCGCAAGTGCGAATTGGAGCGCGAGCGCGGGTTGGAGCGCGAGTGCGGGTTGGTGCGCGAGCGCGGGTTGGTGCGCCAGCGCGGATTGTTTGCTCAGGCACCGTGGTTATCAGGTGCGTCCCGGTCCTTTCATCCTCCCTCCCCCCGCTGAAATTTCCTAATCCTTCTGCTCTCCTCGTAAATTTACTGTGTCAATTGGTCTCCTCTTGCATTGCACTTTCATTTTAAGGGGAGATACGGAACGCGAGGGAGAGCGTGAGAGATTGCGTGAGGGAGAGCGTGAGAGAGCGCCTAAGAGTGCGCGCGCGAGATTGTGCGTGAGATCGCGCGTGATAGAGCGCGTGAGAGTGCGCGTGATAGAGCGCGTGAGAGTGCGCGTGATAGAGCGCGTGAGAGTGCGCGTGCGCTTGAGAGAGCGCGTGATAGAGCGCGTGATAGAGCGCGTGAGAGTGCGTGTGCGCGTGAGAGAGCGCGTGAGAGAGCGCGTGATAGAGCGCGTGAGAGTGCGCGTGAGAGTGCGCGCGTGAGAGTGCGCGTGAGAGAGAGCGTGAGAGTGCGCGTGAGAGTGCGCACGTGAGGGGGCGCGTGAGAGAGCGCGTGAGGGAGCGCGTGAGGGAGGGCATGAGAGTGCGCATGAGAGAGCGCACGTGAGAGAGCGCGTGAGAGTGCGCGCGAGAGCGCGCGTGAGAGAGCGCGTGACGGAGCTTGTGAGAGTGCGCCTGAGAGTGCGCGTGAGAGAGCGCGTGAGAGAGCGCGTGAGAGAGCGCGTAAGAGTGCGCGTGAGAGTGCGTGTGCACGTGAGAGAGCGCGCGTGAGAGTGCGCGTGAGAGTGCGCGTGAGAGTGCGCGTGAGAGAGCGCGTGAGAGTGCGCGTGAGAGAGCGCGTGAGGGAGCGCGTGAGAGTGCGTGTGCGCGTGAGAGAGCGCGTGAGAGTGCGCATGAGAGCGCGTGACAGAGCGCGTGAGAGTGCGTGTGCGCGTGAGAGAGCGCGTGAGAGTGCGCATGAGAGGCCACGTACGAGGCCACGTGAGAGGGCAGGTGAGAGAGCACGTGAGAGAGCGCGTAGCGCATGAGAGAGCGCGTGAGAGTGCGCGTGAGAGACGTGTGAGGGAGAGTGTGAGGGAGCGCGTGCGTGAGAGTGCGCGTGAGAGTGCGCGTTAAAGAGCGCGTGGGAGAGGGCGTGAGAGTGTGCGTAAGGGTGCGCGTGAGAGTGCGTGTGAGAGGCCGCGTGTGAGGGCATGTGAGAGAGCGCGTGAAAGTGCGCGTGAGAGTGCGCGTGAGAGTGCGCATGTGAGAGAGCGCGTGAGGGTGCGAGTGAGAGTGCACGTGAGAGTGCACGTGAGAGTGCGCGTGAGAGTGCGCGTGAGAATGCGCATGTGAGAGTGCACGCGTAGAGTGCGCGTGAGAGAGCGCATGAGTGTGCGCGTGAGAGCACGCGTGAGTGAGCGCCTGAGAGAGCGCGTGAGAGTGCGCGTGAATGTGTGCGTCAAGGTTAAAAAAAACGACCGTATTTTTGAAAATTTGCCGTAAAAAACGGTACCGTAAAAAACGGCTGTAAAAAACGGTTCCAAAAGGTGATTTTCGTCTAAAGAAAAAATCAGCCATAATATGGGACCAAATTGATGGGAAAAACCACCAGGATGAAGAGGACGATCCCCTCTTTGCTTGTGTGCATGCGTAAGCATGATCGAAAATGTATTCGACCTTGTTTTTGCCTTTTTTTTCTTGGTGATAAGAGTTCTCTAACAAAAAAACGGCCGTATTTTTGAAAATTTACCGTAAAAAACGGACCGTAATTTACGATTACCGTATTTTTGAACCTTGGTGTGCGTGTAAGAGAGCGTGTAAGAGTGCGCACGTGTAGAGAGTGTGAGAGCGCGTGAGAGTGTGCGTGAGTGCGCGTGAGAGAGCGCGAGAGAGTGCATGTGCACGTGAGAGAGCGTGTGAGAGGCCGCGTGAGAGGGCAGGTGAGGGAGCGCGTGAGAGTGCGCGTGAGAGTGCGTGTGAGAGTGCGCATGTGAGAGTGCACGCGTAGAGTGCGCGTGAGAGAGCGCGTGAGTGTGCGCGTGAGAGCGCGCGTGAGTGAGCGCGTGAGAGAGCGTGTGATAGTGTGCGTGAGTGCGCGTGAGAGTGCGTGTGAGAGGGTGTGTGAGAGAGCGCGCGAGAAAGCGCATGAGGGAGCGCGTGAGACAGCGCATGAGAGAGCGCGTTAGAGAGCGCGTGAGAGAGCCCGTGAGTGGGTGTGAGAGAGCTTGTGAAAGCGCGCCGTGAGAGAGCGAGTGAGAGAGCGCGTTAGAGTGCGCGTGAGAGCGCGTGAGACAGCGTGTGAGAGAGCGTGTGAGAGACGCGTGGGGAGCGTGTGAGAGAGCGCGTGAGAGTGCGCGTGAGAGTGCTCGCGAGAGTGCGCGTGAGAGAGCGCGTGAGAGTGCGCATGAGAGTGCGCGTGAGAGTGTGCGAGAGAGTGCGCGTGAGAGAGCGCGTGGGAGAGCGTGTAGGTTTGTGTGTTTGTTTTTGAGAGAGTGTCTAAGAAAGTTGAGAGTATTTGTGTGTCTGTGTGAGTGGGTGCAAGATTGAGTATAAGAGTGAGTGCGAGCGTGAGTGTGAAGTTGAACGTGAGGGTGGTTGCAAGGTATTGCCTCATGTTGGCGTAGTACTGTGTTGCCACACCATTTTACCTCTGTGAGTTGACAAATTCCCATTGCTTGTCTTTGATTGATCTATGCGTTTTTCAACAACTTTTTTATACTCTTGTTATTTCGTTTCAAGTGCATGTGTGAGCTGCATTCTCTTTGTTTTTGCTTTATGCGGGTGAGTTGCGTTTCCTGCTTGGCCTCCTCGTAGGGAAGCATTATATGTTTAATTGATTTCTTTGTACAGTGTATGAACATTCTTGGATTTTGCCTTTTTCTTGTGCAGGGCGCGTGCTTTGTGTTCTCTGTTTTTGCTCTGTGCAGGGCGCGTGAGCTGCATTCTTTGCTTTTGTTTGGCAGAGAAGGGAGATGAGGGAGGGGGTGGGAGGGAGATGAGGGATGGAGGGAAGGAGGGGTGTAGGGAGGGTAAAGGGGGATAGGCTAGCGATGGTGAATGAATTCTTGTTTGCGCCTTTATTATCTGTATGTATTTGTGCTTGTTTGTATGTGTGCCAGTGTGTGCGTGTGTGTCAGTGTGTGTGTTTGTGTGCCTGTGTGTGTGATATGTACAGTCGTTTGTTTGTACAAAGTCACGTGTGCTTGTTGAAGTAGTGTGATGTTAAAGTGTGCCCGGTCTGCATTTGAGATGGGGATCGTTGTTGGGGCAACGTTGCTTGCCTTAGCATACCATAACCAACTCTTTTGTAGCACCGATGCATTTCAGCATTCACTCATACTACGTGTTGTCACACCTTATGACTGTTGATATGTGTCATCGTTTATCGTCTGTTGTTTGTGTAATTTCGTTGTGATGCTAGATTGGGTCGGGTCTGCATTTGAGATGGGGATCGTTGTTGGGGCAGCGTTGCTTACTTCAGCATACCAGAACCATCTCTTTTGTAGCACCGATCCATTTTAGCATTCACTCATACTAGTGTTTTCACACCGTATCACTGTTGATATGTGTCATTGTTTATTGTTTGCCGTTTTGTGTAATTATGTTGTGTTGTGTGATGTTAGATTGGGTCGGGTTTGCATTTGAGATGGGGATCGTTGTTGGGGCAGCGTTGCTTGCCTTAGCACACCAAAACCATCTTTTCTGTAGCACTGATCAGGCCCTCAGATTCGTTTTTGGCCTGTCTGATTCGTCAGACTAGTACACAATTTTAGTCTGAAAATCTCAGAGCTGGTTTTAAAAAAAGGCTGAAATTTCAGAGTGTCCTAAAAAAAAGTCTGATCATTCATAAACAATGTATTTAATGTTTCATCGGAATGTAATCAATGCTTCATTCATCTGCTACCGAAACACACAACACTAAGGGGATTTCCGATAAAACATGCTCTGACAGGGCGAATATATGTGTCAGGGCGAATCTTGTGGTGCGAAAGAGCGAATCTGCAATGTCAGGGCGAGTTTTCTGTGATTGGCCGAAAATTGTTGTGCTCTGACAGCGCAAATCTGTTGTGTCAGGGCGATTTTGCTATGATTGGGCGAAAGTCTTGTGCTGTAAGGCTCAGATTTGCTGTGTCAAGGTGATTTTGCGTTGACATTGCGAATCTGTTGTGACCTGTAAGTCCGAATCACCAGTCAAGGACGCGTTTGTACTCTGAATGATCAGAGTACACTCTCAGAAAACTCTGAACTCTCAGAGTTAGCCTTAAAAAAAGTCTGAAAATTACTGAGTTTGGGCCGAAAAAAGTCTGATTCTAACAGAGTACATTGGAAAAAAAATCTGAAATATCAGAGTTTTTTTGTGCAAATCAGAGAAAAAAGTCCGACTTCGTAGGGCCTGGCACTGATCCATTTTAGCATTCACTCAAAGTACTGGGTATGCGTTCTTTTCCACGTGTTGGGTTGGGTGGGTGTTGTCTCGTCAATTGTGTTGGGTGTTGTTGGGCTGAGGATTTCAGCCTTAGGATCTTTGCAGAGAATAGGCTAGTAGGTGCAAGAGTAGCACAGCGGAAGACTTGAGTGAATGTACTTGTGCTGGTATGTGAGAACAAGTAATTGATTAAAGCAAAGAGCATACAGGAATATATAGAAAAGATAGATTACAGGAAGCAGTTATGTTTATCGAGACGCGTAACGCTTCGACTATTGAGGCGGTTACTCTTCACTGAAGCGTTGCCTGCTGTTGCGTAACCTCCAGGCGGTTACGGCTCGCAACTTCCAGTTGCGGTTTGATGTGGTACGCGCCTTTTCGACTTCATACTCCTTTTGTTGTGCTTCAGTATCGGGTGAGGTTCGATACTACAGAAACGCACCAAGTCATGCGTTTATATTCCCAACACTCCCCTTCGTTTCTGGAGTGTCGACGTGGTCAGCTTCGGTGACGTGGCTCAATTCGGTGAGCAGCATGCAGTACTTGAATTTCCCCTTTGGTAGCTTCTTGGTGAGATAATCCGCTGCCATCTCGGTGGTCGGGCAGTAGTCCAGCTGGAGTTTTCCCTTCTCAATTTCGTCTTTCACGAAGAAGTATCGCAGTGCGATATGCTTGGTTCTGTTGGCGAAGCCATTCTTGTTCGCGATTCGTATCGCGGACTGGTTGTCGCAGAAAAGCGAGAAGCTGGGTACTTTCACAATTTTCGCTTCTTCCAGCAGTTCGCGCAGGTACAGACCTTCCTTGGTAGCGGTGCAGAGAGCAATATGCTCTGCTTCAGCAGATGATAGTGCGACGAGTTCCTGCTTACTTGATTGCCAGGAGATAGTTCCGACGGGCTCGAGACGGTAGATGTAGCCGGTGCGAGAGCGACGATCGACACGATCAGCAGCGTGATCAGCGTCGACGTAGCCGAGTAGTTTTAGGTCGGTCGTCGTGCTCTTGTGATACGTTAAGCCAACTGTTGGTGTCAAGATGAAGTAGAGAAGGGCACGGTTGAGTTCCTTGAGGTGACGTTGTTCTGGGCGCTTGAGGTAGGTCGCTAGTTGACTGGCGCTGTAGGATAAGTCCGGTCGGCACGTAACGGCGGCAAAGAGTAGGCAGCCCAGTTTCTGTTGATATTCCTGGATTCCAGCAGACGGCAATGGGTTGGTTTCTTCGGTTGGATCGAGCGATAGGTGACTGTAGGGTGTTGCGACGTGCGTCGGTGTGATGCAGAAGCGTTCGGCGATAGTGCTTGCGTATTTTGAGGCGCTGAGACGAATGGAGTTGTCTTCGTCAAGGATGTTGAGCCCTAGGTACTGCGAGACGTTGGGTGAGACTGTGAGGGAGAGATCTGTCTGAAGCTCCCTTTCGAACCAGGTGACGATGGTGGTAGTTGACCCGATGTAAAGCAAATCGTCGACGTAGACGATTAGCAGGACGTAGTCGTTGTCGTGAGTGAGGCAATACATGCCCTGGTCATGGGGCAGTTGGTTGAATCCGATGCGTTTAAGTCGTGCGTGCAGGTACTGCTGCCAGAGTCGCGGTGCCTGCTTAATTCCGTATAGTGATTTGAGTAGTTGGCAGACGAGGGAAGAGTCGTCGACGAACCCGTGGGGCTGTTGACGAAGATTTCAGCGTCGACTGGGGCGTACAAAAAAGCGTTGGCGACGTTGATTTGTCGGAGTGGGCGGCGACGTGAGGCGGCGATGGCGAGGAGTATACGCAAGGAAGTATGTCGACTGACTGGTGCAAAAGTTTCAGTGAAGTCGCGACCATACTCTTGGTCGAATCCGCGGACAACCCATCGAGCTTTAAATCGTTCGATGGTTCCGTCGGAGTTGGTTTTGATCCGGAATACCCATTTTCCGGAGAGAATGGGTCTGTCTTGTGCGAGTGATGCAGGGACGATCTTCCAGGTGTTGCGGTCTGAAAGCGCTTTTAACTCCTTTTCCATGGCTTCGCGCCATTTTTCTTTGTGTTCCCCCCCCAGAGCCTGCTTGACAGAGCGAGGCTCTTCAGGTGGCGACGAAGGCCCGTGCACTGCAGCGACGAGTCCCAGGTTTTGGAGTCCGCTGGGGGTGTGACGGTTCAGCAAGGGATCCTCAGGATATACTGCTTCGTCTCCCGATTCAGGGTCAGGTGCGAATCCGGGGCCGTATCGTTCAGAGATGTCGGTGTTGACGGGTTGGGGTGTTACGTAACCAGTGTCGGCGAAATGGTAGTAGACGTCGGCATTGTTGCTGTCGCGAGGATTTTCCTCGTCCATGGGGATTGGGACGGAGCAGTAGGGAAGGGGTCCAGCAGCTTCGGAGGCGCCGTCCACGTTTTCTTCTTCCCAGTCAGCAGCGTGGGAGGGTGAAGCGAAGGCTCGAGAACCAGAAAATTCGCCGGTGGGGTCGACGTGGCGTGCGATGTTGTCCAGGTAATGGTTGAGGGTGAGTCGCTCGTAGAAGATAACGTCACGTGCTGCTACTGTTTCCTTTGTGTGAACGTCGAAGATGCGCCAGGCTTCGTAATGTTTTGCCAGCCCGAGGTGTAGACCCCACTGTGCACGTTGCAAAAATCTCCCTGCGCGTGCAGTGTGTGGGCGGTACTGTACCATACACCAAAAAACTCTTAACATTTTTGTGTTGCCCAGCTTCCCAGTCCACAACAGGTGCGGAGATGCGTTGTTGGGCAGTGAAGACGAGGACAGCAAGTTGT